AGCCACTTGAGCATCAAAGAAGACCACAAAGTGAAAATAAACCTAAAATTATACCAAAATTGCAGAATCATGAATGAAAATTGATAAAGATTAAAGAAGCAATATATACATTCTCAAAAATCACCAAAAAGACAATTCTAGTACTTGAGAAGATATATCTAATTTGAAGACGTTCGACTATAATTCATGATGGATTAAAATGAATTTATCCTTTTTTATCCTTTTTAATCTTCCATTAGATAATTCATTCATATTGAAAATTTTGAGTTATTCTGAATTGGTATGAAATTATCTTGTCCTCTTGTATTATAAGTATGTGTATTATTGAATTGAAAGAAAAAATAAAATATGGTCCTGAAATATCTAAATGAACTTTATGTATGGAAATTAATGACAAAATAAACTGATATAGTAAAAATTCACCTCTATAACATCACATACGTTCCTCTACATTTATCACCACTCAAAATCACTTTCATCGCTCGGTTTTGAAAAATTTCAAGTCAGTTATATTCATTTGAGAAATGTAAAGTTGAATAGAACAATAGTACTAACGAATTCTCTAGAAAAAAACTAATGCTTCAGAACGCCAAAGAGACTATATTTCAATTGAGAATCTACAATCACCTCCTAGGTATTTGAAGTTTTCAGTTTTTTTCCAAAAGTCAAGATTTGAAAACTCATATCTGTTTTTTCCTAGTATCACATACTCTGTTTCACTAATTTATCTTTAATTCATTTTGCAGTAATTTCCTTTCGAATAAATTATTTGCTTGTATTATTAAAACAACGATAAAATAAAAATAAAAATTAATTGGCGCTCCGTGGCGACTTCATTGATTCCAGTGGCGCATTTGCTTTTTTAGTTGCAGGAAAACCCGGAAAAACCTGCAGCACCACATCATCTGACGATCTTGATTTACCAATGTCCTCTCTCTTGTAGAACAAAATGTAGGGTGTCTTCAGAGGCTCCAATAGATTTAATGCATCGCCAGAACACTTCGTGACACGACTATCGTCAAACTCTCGAATATAAAAATTATAAGCAAAAAAATTATACCTGTGGTGTCAGTACTTTCAAAAGATCACTTAAAATCTGAAAATACTATTACAACCATCCTTTATCAACTGAGAATTTTTTTTTCATTCAGAACGTACTGAACTCCACATTCAGCTCATATCAATTATTGTGAATCCTGATTGAAATTCTAAATATATTCTATCTTCCATTACGAAAATAATTATTCGATTGTATTCTATTATAAAGTACGTTCCTACAGTACTAACACAGTACATCCTATTATAAATCAAGAAAGTAACCATTTCATGAGTATGTAGAGAGTGAACCAAATTGGACAATTCCAAATGAAAACTCCTATTTCAAACTAGATAGATGAAAACTGATTGCTGTGTCTGGGGGCAAATTTGATAATACACTCGATGATGAAAACCGCATATCGATATCTATCATCGTTTCTGAGTTACACAGAGCTTTTAGGTTTTCTCATATAGACTTTGAAACGCACACTTTGATTAAGTACGCTTTGGAAGATACAAATCTTTACTGGTAGCTGTCAAATTTTGATTTGAGGAGTATATACGCTCTTCAATTACAATACAAACCGGGGAAAATACAGAAGCAGCAAGTAGTTTGTATCACGACAGGTATCCAGGGAGAAGACATTTTCGCAAGATTGTGACGCAACTTAATCGAGGGTTGTGAATTTTAAAAGAAAAGGCCAAAATTTTATGAATCAAATAGGGATAAGGAGTTTAGGAGTTGTTGTAAATAATTCCAATACGACAACGGGAAATTCAAGAATATCAACAGGCCTACCAAGAACTAACGTTAGAAGGATTTCGAAAAAAGCCACACAGGGCCAGAAGAGTTCATCAACTCAGACCAGGGGATATGCGATTTTCATTATTACGTTTGTCATTAATTTTGACCCTCAGACACAGCCATCAGTTGACATTTATCTAGTTTGAAAACAAAGTGAAAATAAACCTAAAATTATACCAAAATTGCAGAATCATGAATGAAAATTGATAAAGATTAAAGAAGCAATATATACATTCTCAAAAATCACCAAAAAGACAATTCTAGTACTTGAGAAGATATATCTAATTTGAAGACGTTCGACTATAATTCATGATGGATTAAAATGAATTAATCCTTTTTTATCCTTTTTAATCTTCCATTAGATAATTCATTCATATTGAAAATTTTGAGTTATTCTGAATTGGTATGAAATTATCTTGTCCTCTTGTATTATAAGTATGTGTATTATTGAATTGAAAGAAAAAATAAAATATGGTCCTGAAATATCTAAATGAACTTTATGTATGTAAATTAATGACAAAATAAACTGATATAGTCAAAATTCACCTCTATAACATCACATACGTTCTTCTACATTTATCACCACTCAAAATCACTTTCATCGCTCGGTTTTGAAAAATTTCAAGTCAGTTATATTCATTTGAGAAATGTAAAGTTGAATAGAACAATAGTACTGACAAATTCTCTAGAAAAAAACTAATGCTTCAGAACGCCAAAGAGACTATATTTCAATTGAGAATCTACAATCACCTCCTAGGTATTTGACCACGACATGTTTCGTTAACACAGTAGCTTTGTTACGATCAGTTGTAAATAGTTGAACGCTAATTATTAAATTAGGACAACTCTATTTGTGAAACACCCGATATATAGTTCCAGCCAACTCGGTAAATTTTTTTGAAAGGAAAAAAACGGAACGTTTTTTTTTGTCCGTCCGCTCTGGGGCATTCGTGAGTGAAACTGAATGATATCGTTCGGAAGACTTGATTTCAGGCAAATTCTGGTTTTCAAATATGAAATTTCTGTGGCAAAAGGATAATTCCAATGCCAATTCTCCCATACACACACACACACACACAAATATGAAATTACGTCTTTTGACGGATATAAACCTACCGTGCCTTGTTGTAATATTGTGATTGGGTAATTCTGCTGTAGAGCGATCTTGCAATATCCTTATTATCGATTGGGATGAATTTTATCGAATGAATTATTTCTTCCGGCAGTCGAACATATAAGCGTAAGCGTATAGTTTTGTCACTCATTATTTTTTTTGGCGCGGATGTATCGCGAAAACAATTATTTACAATTTATACCTTTTTTTTAGATGTTTTTCTCTGATATGGTTAATCGAAATTTCGCCCGGACGGGTGCTACCTTTGATAACACGTCGAAATGGATGGGGTCAGACCTTTTTGAATTTTATTGCCTTTTACGTAGCGACTAAACCGCAAATTTTCCGAAATCATATGGATGGTGGTGTTCCTATTTCGACAGTGTAGACGTGGAATTAAGAGCTTTTCACGAATTTGCGTAGTAGCAGGCCATAAGAATCTACACATCACTAGCAGCTAGATAAGTACCGATTAGAAGTTTTATTAATGATGTTGTTTTTGCGGGATCCTGACATTATTGTTTACGAAAGCAATGAACCTCGCTGAATAGGTTGGTGTTTCCGAATAGTTTTGTCTTCGCCTTTGCATAAGCGTTTAGTTTGTTGTATAAGTGAAGAATAAATCCGTTGAACAGGCGTATTTTGGGGAAACAACATTCAACGTTTTTATTCTTGTTCCTTTGTCGTATTCCACCTTACTGTTTTCGCGTATCTGGATTGTTTAGTAGTTTCATTTCAGGTATAGGCTAGTCGGTGCACAAGAAACTACTTGGCGCCCGTGTTATAATTTTTTGTACATATTTATACTTATCTGTCGGATTTAACCCACGGCCTTCACGAGCAAGCACATTACTCGCCGTACACAAAAAAGGGCAGAAGTGTTATTCCTAATGTTTTAGGAATAGATATTTCAATATATATTTTTTTTATTATTGAATTGAATGTAATAGCTTCTTCAACTCACTGTTAAAGATGCTACTGTGTTAGCGAAACATGTGATATATTCCTCAAATAAAGTTTGTGGAGATCAAATCGTAAGGTGTAGTTTATGAAATTACCATGGATCAAGTAACGGCCGAATCAATCGGAAAAAAAATTAGAAAGTGAAAACAATTAATTTAATTCTGTTATAGAAAATAAAAGTTTCATTTTTTTCTGTGTATTCTCAAAACTAGGATTGCTTGGTCATATTTATTCAACACACTTATGATGAGCTATACATCATATCTTAGCTTTCGTTTTCACTTTTGTGTAACTCACCGTTTTTGAGATAACATTGAATCGTTTCAACTTTGCAACTGGAGAAGTTCCGTGGTGGCCGTGGTAGTGGACGGACGTGCTGATAACGTCCGCCCACAAAGAAGGTACGCGGATGCCATGTGCTATCGTGGAACTCCGTTTTTGTGTTGTGTTAGTCCATTATGTTAACTAAAGAAATGTGTGAGTGTCATTAAAAAAAAAGTAATGAATCAAGGGCCCCCTCTATTCACGCCGGTATCCAGGACGGGGTGGTTCGGATAACCACGTAAAGGGGGCTGTATATGTAAAAAAAAAACAAATGGTCTCCCAAGCAGGAGGCGACTCCATAAAAACCAAAATGTTTTTATTAATCAAAATTTGTTTTAATAATGAAAAAAAGAAGTTGGAAAAAATGGGTGGCCGCATTGCTTCGTGCAAGACCGCTGCAAGACGAAGCTCCTGTTAACCAACAGGAGGAGCATTGGCCAAATGCGCCTGATGATAGGAAGCAACCACCATCCAAAATAGGGAGAGAGAGAGAGAACTTTGCAACTGTACCGACAGAATGTAGGAAATGTGGAAATACGTTGGCTCTGTTATTGAAGTTGAGTTTTTGATACTGCAGCTGAAGTATATAATAATAGAATAGAAACACCCACCAAATCATTGATTCATCAGTTATATTATGTTTGTTTGTTTTCAGTTAGTTCCTTTAATATCAACATTCTATCATAAATGTTAATGAACAGTATGAAAATGTCATATCCTAAACATTTTTATTCATCAGTGCAAAATCAGGCTCACCTCTTTGTATTTCATTGGTACCATTGTACCATCTCACTTTAGGAATAGGTTTACCACCAGATGCCTCGCAGATCAAGTCGAATTCATCTTCTTCTTCCATTGGGCCAATGACTGTAGAATTTGGTAAAGGAGTGTGATCTCCACTGCGAAAGATTTTCACATTCTCTGGTTTTTCTGAAAAAAAAATCGTTGATGTAGATCTTGTGAAAAACTTGAAATAATCCTAGTATAAACATCAAAATTACACAAGTCAAGGTTCATGATGAAGTTCGATGATGAATCGGAATAGTCAGATTTGTCGTACGATATGACAATACCAGAAGGATCTTTATATTACAGGATTATTGTTTCGGATTCCAGTCTTAGTATACTTATCAGTTCTCAACGTAGTAATCACGTTTTTCAATTTATGTTTCTATGGAAAAAATCTATGTATGTGTGTGTGCCAATCGTCCCACACATATACACATACACACAGGTATTTTTCTTTGAAATACATATGGAAAAATTTGATTACTACTTAAAAACTGATAATTATACTAAGACTGGAATCCGCTATATAATAGGATATTGCAAATGCTTGTCAAAAAGAACTCTTTTTCTTGGCTGATACTACAACGGATATTATTTACACCCAAAAAATATTATATTATATTTATGTTTTCAATTTTGTCACTTATTTTCCCACTGAAGATGAATTGAGTATTTTCTATTTCACGATGCCGATCCATGTAACATACAAAAAACAACTAACTACAAGAGGGCTTTATTGTTCCAAATACCCATAAGTTCGAAGGGGATAAGGTCTAAGAATTATGTAGTCAGTGTTGTAACAATTGGAATTGGATCTTCTTGCTTCCTGTGATGGATTTAATGAAACCAAGAACAAAAAATTACATCGGACTTTCGTCAACTGCATAAGAGTGTCGAAGAGAGGACAGCACTGCACCCTCCTAAGATAACTTTATGCCAACAGAAAATCGCCTTTCGTCAACACAATTAAGATCAAGGAAGGCATCATCTAGCGGATCATAACGAGTCAATCTGCTCCTGATTAATAGGAAAATCTAACTATTTGTTCAGGAAAACGTATCAGTTGTTGAATATGATGAATATGAATATATTAAAGACAGACAGAATTTTAATTTCAATGATAGGTTTTATTCAGTAGTATACCACCCATTCCGTCTTTCGGTTTGAGTAATAGAAGAACATATTAAAAGAAAGCTTCGAATTGTAACATTTGTATATCGATATTTCATAGAAATCAATTATGAAATAAGGTGACATTTTATATGGAGAATAAATTATAAAATTATCAGTATGTTTTTGTTACTATTGGCCCCACCTTCTGAAATCACTTGATAATTTTCTAATTCCATATTACTTTCAGTTTGTTCTTCGAATTCATAAACTTTTTTTACCATACCATACATAGATACTTGTGCATGAATATTTTGATCCAGGTTTGAAGTATCAACTACATCTACATATTTCATATTTTTGAATTTTTAACAAAACATGGGTTATCTTTGACTTTCAATGATACAGCAATTATTAAATTGTATTGTCATCAAAACTAAATGTGCGTACAAAATATCCGAACAATCTGTCTACAGAAGTGGGTTAAATTTCAATTATTGAGTTTGAACCAATCAAACAGGGCAAGCTAAATGAAACCGTTTGAAAAAAAAACATTTAAAACTTTATCTCGATATAGCCTGATTACGTGTGGTCGCTACCGCCTAATTATAAATTGTGAGTATGAAGTGGGTGCAGAGATTGGCATCGGTTTTCTCCAAAATAAAAAATTTCTCCGAACCGGATATTATAATGTCAGGACGCTTTCTGCTTCGATAAGTTTGTTGGGGTTTGAATGGACCAATATGTCACTGGAATTGCAAAGCCTGCTTCTCAAAAGCTTGGAACACTGTTCCGAACCGGAAAACTGTACATACATCAGCAACTTTTCATGCTTTATAAATCTCAGATCAGACCTTCTTTGGAGTATATTTCTCATGTATGGAGCTCTACCCCCAAACATACCCCGGAGCTGCTGGATTCCATTCATGAAAAAACCATTCACCTGATTGGAGACCCGAACATTACTTGCAACCTTGAAATTCTGGAACATCGAAGAAATGTTGGAAATTTTTCTCTCTTTCATAGATACTTTCACGGAAAAATTTCACATTTGATTTCACCAAGAGCGGTACATATCATAAATACGCGACGTACTGTAGCTGCTCATCGTTTTGAAGTTCAACTCAGTACACCTCGAACTTCACTGTTTGAGAACTCTTTCATTTGGAGAACTGCGTTTATGTGGAATAAACTTCCTGAGAAAGTTTTTCCAAATTAATTTATTCACCAGCGATTCAAATACATCGTGATTCGCTGCTTTCGCACAGGCACCGCTCTCAAGCGCCTTAAGGATTTTCCTGTAGTGCTTGTGTTTTGTCCTTCATAAAAAGGCTACTAGCTGTAAACTTTCCATTCATGAAGTGTATAGGAACACAAACTCAAAACACAATCTCAATTATGTTGAGAGGATTATAACAAACATTCAATAACGAACCTGTTCACACTAGCACAAGAAACTGTTTTGTTGGAATTGGTATTGATAGATTGTTTTTTCCACTGGATTGTTTTGAAATCAAGAAACGATTTATCAGTTAGAGAAATGAGCAAACAAATTCCTTTTTCACAAGCATTCGTATCCTATCGAGACAGTGGTGATGAGTAGCGTCACTTTGTATAGAGTAAGATTGTGAGTGTCATAAAAGGTATATAGTCGACCTCATTTTCATTTCAGTTTTGTGCATACATCATTCATGTTTTGTAATAGGAACGCTGGTGTTCCGTACTTTCGATTCGGTCAACATAATACCAGTGTTTGTATTGCCTAATTAATTTTTCAGACAACTTGTCACATGAAAATCTAGACTCGGAGAAATTCAAATTTATTATCACTGCTACATTTCTCATCATTTTAAAAAATAAAAGAGTTCGAAGAAGTTACGGAAAAAATTGTTCGTCGTACTCAATCGCAGAAAACGTTAAGTCAGTATATGCTTCATATAACGGGTTCAACTACTGTTCTACCGAATTTTAATAGAATAATTTGTGAATCAATATTCAAGTAAATGAATGGCATTTGCATCTAAGCAGAATATGTTTCCCTACTCATTTCAGTTCTGTTTCATCATGCTCATTTTATATTTGTTTTTTGTCGGTTCAAGCATATTCATTTCAAAAAACTGTTCATATGAAAAACAAACACAAAAAAGGTTCATGTTGATCAGAATTTTTATATTATCGAGTGTAGTACAGAATTGTAACTCACAGCGAAAAATATATTCGAATGCCATGAAATGGAATGGAAAACGCTTTTTCGCACAATAAGCGTAATAATTCGAAATGGAAACGTTTTCCGAATATGTAATCGAATTGCGTTGTATCAATTCACATAATAGATGAATATTCGAAACTTGAAAAAAATGTGTTGATCCGTACATGATATACAGTGTGACAAACTTGAGATGACGACACACTTGTATTTTAGTCATTTTTTACAGCAGATATTTGATTTTTGGTTCAGCCGTAGACCTCCATAGGCGGCTCTTTTTGCAATACTAAGCCTAAGTGACAGCCTCAAACTCAGCCTAATGTTATCCCGCGAAAAGGGCAGATTCTTGTTATTTTACTTCGCGTTGGAGATACCGGAATAAGCCTAATAATCGATTTTGACACTACATACCAAATTCCGACAAAATTTGTTTTTTTTTGTAATTTTTAAATTTTAAGTCCGATTTTCAATTTATGGTTCCTAATAAGAATATTCATAATGAATATTAGATTTTTCATTCTTATTTCTTCATTATATCGAATGTATTGTTTTCGTAGATTTAGAAAAATTAATTGAAAATTGGACTTGAATATGAAATTCGAATATTGCTTTGGAATTCGGTATTCGGTATTGCAAAAAGTGCTACCCATGAAGGTCTATGCCTGTACCAAAAATCAAATATCTGCTTTCAGAAATAACTAAAATACAGGGGTCTTCATCTGTATGTACCTGGCATGAATCAGATTCATAATCTGAATAGTTTTGAACAAATGTGAACTACTTGAGTGAAGTTTATTATCATTCAAATGAGGGTAATTGAAGAAACTATCACCGATTGTTGTTTATTCGGAAAAGGGATCAAAAATGTTCGCAGATAAACAATCAACAATTAACGACCAACTGTAAACATTTCTAAGCTATTTTTCGGGTATGTTAACCGCGATCTGCAGGTTACCTTCACCTAATGTTCCGTCCACTACTCCGGTATACATTATCAATGGCAATAAAGCGAAACACGAAGAACTCGGCATGTTTCCACGCAGATACTGAAAACCTTCAGAATAAGTCAATCAAAAAAACCTGCAGACCACGGCTAACAAAACAACAAAAAAACAACTAAACAATTTCCTGCTGTTTTGGACTTCATCAACTCCATCATAAGAGCCCTACAATCAAATTATTCCATGAAGAAACAATATATATGCCAGTACAAATGGCCATTTGACATAATTTTCAATCCCTATCATTTAAGAATACTGAAGTGAGATATACCGATCATTAGTTTTGTATACCGTTTTTTAGCTAATCACACGATTGCTATGTCGGAAACGATAAGAAATAAAAGGTCGGTTAGATTGTACAAAAGTTTTCTAGTCTGGGGAACTAGAATAATCCCTTTAGACATTGCGAATATCAGTGGTTGTTTTTGAAATATTCGCCAAAAACTGGAAGTGTAGAATTTCGTTTTTTGGCTCTACCTCCCCCAAGAGATTTATATCAGACTAGTTATTGACCGCGACTTCGATCGCGTAGAATTCAGTTTGTCACATAAGTTTCCTGACAGACCATTTTAAACAAATAGTTACAATATTTTTTTTACTAACCCAAAACGGTTTCTAACTTTGAAACTGACAAAATTCAATACAATCTTTCAACCTCTATTTCTTCCCTTGCGGGTAGAAATTCCTGATTCCTTTTCTTGATGCTTATTTACGCTATACAAATAACCTACCTGCATATTTCAAAATTCTAGGTTCAATAGCTTCGGGTGCCAGTTGATATAAGAGCAGGCAATAGCTTGAAAAAAGTTTCAAAATATATTTTT